TCTTAATCACTCATCACATATAAACTCTTTGCCATCCTCATTAGTTTCTGTTTACAAGGGAAGTATCAATGTGACCATGTATCAAGCATTTAATGAAGAATTTGAAGAAATCATACAGTATTCATATTAATTTTAATAATGTTCTAATGCTTATTGTTACAAGTGTTGATTTGATCAGTAAACTATAAAATTGAAGTTAACAAGATGTTCCTTCTATAGCGGGACTTTGAGCTGTTGTCTTTTCTTGTAATTGTCCTCGCAGTTAAAAACAGAAAATGGAAGCCAGGTATTTAAACTCTCAGTATTGATAAACTTAAATCAAGGGTAAAAATCCTTGCCTAAAAGCTCATTGGCAAACACATTGCCCAATTGCAAAATTGTTCCCCTATAGGCTCATCCCTACTACAAGTTTATCATGTGGATACAAAAAGCTTGCCTTAAAGCCTCTCTACTCTTTGAATTTTACCTATGAGAAAAAATTTTTTTCTATCAGGAAATCATGATATGGACATGAAAACTTTAAGCTGCAACCCAGATTTATGCAACTTGTTAAGAAACTTTTTTTCTGTTTTCTTTCCTCCTTTTTCTGTATCTGACCCTAAATTTAGATATCTCTTTTTTTGACAAGCATTCAGTAGTGGTGCAGTGTCTGTTTATAGGAGTTTTCAGTTTTGTTTTGTTTATTTTTTTTTCAGCCTCTTGGCAAGAGATAGCATCAATGGTGTTCTTGTTTAGCAAAATCGCAAACTTTGTTCTTTTTGCAAGGTCAGATCTTAGGCTTGGTCTCATTTACCTGATAATTTGCATTGGTGAGTGACTTGAGGTGTACTTCTGTTTCTTTTTTAAAAATTAAGAGTGTATATTGTCATATTTAAGTGGACTCAGCATTGAATAACATTAAGATGTGGTACATTTGACCCCATATGCATTTTTATTAAAAAACATCTCAGGTAAATTCTCTTGTGAGCACAACAGGTTGTACAATTAAGGTGTTCAAGTTATTAAACAAATGAAATGAATCAAGACTAGTTGTTAAGTTGTAATACTAACATTCTAGCCAAACTGATTTAATGGTTGTTACCAATGGTTATAGTTAAATGAAAAGCCCTAACAAAGCAATAAAGATTAAAAGACTTCAAGGGTTTTGACTAAAAATAATTGATGCCTATCATTAGTTTTCACATTCTTTATTGTTTTTTTCTTCATCCTCAGTTTTGTTTTTGTTGTTTCCTGAGCCATCATACAGTGGACCTGATGAAGTATTCTTCTTCAGAGGACCAGCACTTGATGTAAGCTTTCTTGAAATATAAGCTTCACCTAACCTTATAACATGGCAAATTAAGTGAATAACATCTTAAAAGATTATTATGAGTGATCACAATGATTAATTTAGTTGTTCTTGTTAACTTCATGAAGATCAGATATTTTTGTTTATTTCAGGATGCCTTACGTGATAACCCTTCTGTCACATGGTTGATAGAATTTTATGCCCCCTGGTGCCCTCCCTGTGTCAGATTTGCTCCAACATTTGCTGAACTATCACTCAGGTAAATGTTCAATGTATTCCAGATACCAGGCAGGAGTAGTAATCTAATAAAGGTTTTTTTGGGAATGTAAGAAAATTTTCATGATTTAAGATTGAGATGTGTCTTAAACAAAGACTGAGAATTTTGATATATGTAGGTTCAGTTTGGGTAAAGATAGTTTTACAAATCAGAATTTTGGCCTTAATTGCCATCAGGTAGAAGGCACTGTTAACTTGATTATAAAAAGGGTTTGATTAATGTTTTTAATTGTAATTTTCTTTTTTTTAACTCCATTAGCAGTTCATGTAAAAAGAATAATCAACCAGATAATAATCTTGGATATTGATATTTATGACAATCATTCTTACCTTCAGTAAAAGCAACCTTTTTTTTCTTTGTCAATTAAGATACAATCACAGTCATCTAAGGTTTGGAAAATTAGATGTTGGAAAATATCCAATTGTAGCAGAAAAGTGAGTAGAATGATGAGAGATTGATGAAAAAGTTGCTTATATCATAGTAACAACAGTTTGAGGATTGATTAAAACACTGCCAGTAAATGAATTTCTTCTTACTGTTTCTTTATTATCTGAATCAGCCACAAAGATTCCATATTTTGGGTAGGGGTAAATTAATTTATCACTGATCAACTTTTTTGAACTGCACTATCATAACATTATTAGTCATGAAATCATAAGCAAACTTGAAAACCCTGCAAGTTTTTCTTCTGATGACAAAGTGGAGAAAGTGTATTGGTACCTCAACTAGGAATATTCCATTTCTACTTCTTTTTATATTGGAAAGGATGTCAGTAGTAGTTACTTTTGGGGCCTAGTATTTAGCATCTAACGATAAGACACCAGTTTAAATGAAGTTTTTAATTTTTTCCTTTCAAGACACAGGGTAGATGGATCTGCCATTTCTAAACAGCTTCCAAGTTTAATTCTCTTTGAAGGTGGAAAGGAGACAAAAAGAAGGCCATTGGTGGACAGGAGAGGTGTTATAACTCCTTACACCTTCACTGAGGTAGGTTATGATCACTGAACAGAATACTATAGAGCTTCATATTGCTTGTCAGAGTCTATTAACCCTTTCTCTCCCAAGATCTCATTTAAAGTTCTCTTTTCTGTCAGCTATACAATTATTATGTTGTTCCTTGGGAGAATTTGGTGTTGGATCAACTTAAAATCCCTGAATTGATAGTTTTCTTTATTCTTATCTGCTTGATATTGTAAGGAAAAATTCTGTCTTGGTCACTCATTGGAGTTAGAGGGTTAACCCTTTCTCTCCCAATATCTCTTTGGTAATTCTCCATACTGTCTTCCATACAATTCTAATAATGTTGGTTGAGAGAATTTGGTATTAGATAAACTAATGATCTCCTGATTTATGTCCATAATGTTCGCTTTGTAAAATGTATTCTATATACAAGGCTAAAAAATTAAAATGTTTAACCCAAACGTTTTTTGGTTGTTTGCCATCATCAGGGTTGATTTATATTTTTTTATTAATTTTAATTCCTTGTCTGCTTGATTTTGCATTGGTATTGTAGGGAGAAATTCTCTCTTGGTCACTCATGGATGTTAACTCTATTGTAAGGGTGACTAGCATTTAATTTCTCTTTACAGTATCACCCCTGAATCAAACATTAAGGTTATGAGAATAAAGGAAATTATCATCAACCAAACAAGCTTCTGATTTTCAAGCAAATCCTCCTTGTTAGTGCCCAAGGAAATGTATAGAGAACAGTAAGGAGAATATGCATACTGATGTTATGGTGCTAAGCATTAAATAGTTGACCTTTGATAAGAGGACGATTCACAGAGCAGACCAAAAATATTGATTTTATGCATTGCTTAACAGGTCAACATTGAACGAGATTTCAAATTAACAGAACTTAAGAAATCTGCTGAGGACAGGCAAAAACTGGAAGAGAAGAACTCAAAGAAGAACAAAAATAAGGAAGATTAACTAACAAGAGAGGAATTGAATAATTTACAATTTTATTAACAAGCAGCACCTTAATGGAGGAGACATTGGGTCTTGCTTCTGGTTATACCGCTGGCGTATGATCAAAGAAAAAGGAAATGATTTTGCTCGTTAGAACCGTACTAAGAGTGCAGAGAAAAGAAAAAGAATGGCAGACTCTTCTTATTTCCCTCACACCTCTGCTGCTAATTCTTAAAAATGTTTGTGTCAATCTTTTTATTAGTTAGTGCTCTCAATGGAGTAACTTATAGCTTAATTACGCTGAGTAGGACCGAGATTTTTCCGTATTTGTAATAGAAATCTGTCATCGCTACACTTGAATGCTGTTGTTCTTGGAGGTGCATTTCTAATTACGTACTGCAGAGTTAAAAAAATCGTTGCTTCTCGAACATTGTGTAAACCCCAAACGAGCTTCGTTTGGCTCATTTCTATCGGGAGGGGAATTAGACAGTAGGAGGGAAGGGAGGGAGGAATGACACAGTCTGAGGGAGGAGTGAAATAACTCAGTATAGGGGAGGGGTGGGTCAACACAGTGTAAAGGATAAAGGGATGAAACTCTATAATGATCAGTTCGTAAGGAATGAGAGTCTTACGTTCGGCCTAAACTCGTGCGTCGCTGTAACACATTTCGACAGCAAAGAAACCATAAAATGACATAACGGAGAAATAGCTTTTGGTCCAAGGACCGAGATGCCGTAGGTTGGTTATATTAAAGTCGTCGTCCACCGTTGGCGACCCTCTACGTCTCTCCTTTAGGAACACGCTAAAAGAACCATTTGAATGTCATTTCGCGGTCAGATAAACCTTTTAAACGACAACACAAGAACAAAGAGTCGTAAATTTTTAACCTGTTAAGGAAATGAAGGTTTCGTTTTTCGTTTAGGGTGTCTTTTTGAGAAAATCTGAACAATTTTTCGCACTAATTTGTTGTGTCTTTCAAGTAAGCCGCTTTGCAACAGTGTTTACACAGAGTGAAACCGACAAAATGCTAAATCCTCTGTAGATTGCGCTAGATTCTTTTTGATGATATGTTGACACAGCTTTACATTACATGAACCAAAATTTGTAATTCTTTCATTAACATCATGTGTGGTTTTTTCACATAAATCGTTTTTGAAAGAGATTTTTTTCCTGGTTAGTAGTGCAAGCTGTCTTCTCAAAGCCATACACAAACTTAAGAAACATAATATTTGCCTGTAGTCAATATCTTTGAACAGATTTGACTAAGGCTTAGGGTTGTTTCATGTGGAAATATCTCAAGACAGCCCATGAGGTTTACAGACCAAAATCGAGACAGCTATTAAAATTATCATTCCAGTTGTGGAGGAGTTAGATTGACATTTCAGGGATGAAGTCGAAATGAATTAACCAACTGTCGGTGTGGCACCTACATGACAATAGCGCGAGAGAAATCATTTGAAGCCCTGAATAAACAAAACTTGCAGGTCGAGGTTGTCTTTCCATGACTAACACCAAGCGATCGAGTCTTTAAGGGTTCACCCCTTCTCTGCATTATTGCTATCGAAACTTCTTCAGTGGAAGCTTCCTTCCTTTAAAGTCCCTGGAGACCTCACAATGCGCAAGTGTATTGTGATCGTTCCCTGATAACTGCAATTAATTGATTGTGAAAGGTATGTAATGTGTTGTGTAGAAAACAGCTAATTACTCCAACAGTTTGTTTTTGCGCTGGCGAAATTCCGCCCACCACAATGAATAAGTTACGCATTTCCGACAAATGCTGACATGGCGGTGATTGGGAATAGAAAGAACGTTAGCGCGCGACAAAATGTATCGACGACCAAACATTATTTGGGTGATTTAAACTTAGAGTTAGTTTTGCCTCTCGGCTTTCCACCATTTTCTTTTAGTCAGCATGATTCTTTTAAAGCGTCTCCGATAATGGCAATTAAATCGATATAATTTCACCTTTCGTGTGAAATATTTTTAAAGCGTGTTTTTTAATAAACGCTTTGAACCTAGAACACATTTGTTACCCAAAGCAAATTGGCCAAAGATTCCTTCTATTACACATTTTAATAAAGCCTTATTTAATAAGAACGGAACAATGAACTCGGTTGACTTTAATTCGAGCGCAGTCTGTAAAAGGTCCCATAAATTGTTTGGAGTGCTGAAGACGTTGCGTCATTTTAAGGCCTAGTTGATTTTGGTGGGTTGTGCGATTTAATCACTTTTTGAATACAGGTTTTATTAGCTGGTTTTAATGACACTCTCATAAACTGTTGACACCTGCTTAATTCCAATTCCAGCCTTTTATTCGGTATTTAGGAAAAGACACCTCGTCCATTGAGTTTTAAGATAAAAAACGTGTGCTTCTTCGGGAGAAACGGGAACGATTTAGAACGAGTTAGGTTGGAAAACCTGCGGCCACTCAACCAAGCGATGAAGATGAGATTTCTTTGGCTCTGCTTTATTTGTTTAAGTTTCTCCAACCTAAGCGAGTCAGTTTGGTGGTAAGTGAGCAATTGATCCTTTAACTCGTTTTTGTCGAGTCTTCGCAGCCTTTCCAAATGCCTTTCCAAATGCCTTCTACGAAATGTCTCTTAACTCGACTGATTTTTTTTCTTGGGCTTTCTCCAGGACCTTAGGAACACATACCACACTGTCAACGGATCCAGCGAAGAAAGCAGCTCTCCTGTGCTTCACAACTCCTCAGCTTAACACAAAACAACGAGATATTTGCCGGAGACACCCAACTCTAATGGCAAGTGTGGCCAAGGGAGCCAGAGAAGCGGTTGAAGAATGTCAGATTCAGTTTCAGCACAGGCGATGGAATTGTTCGTCTGTTCCTGACTCTGGAACACTGTTCGACCCGATCTTAAAGCGAGGTAAGCGAGGTCTGCTTTGAGCCGTGAGCATTACATATGTCTCACTTAAAGGTGACAGCTTCAAGATCTGTTTACTTAAACCCAAAGGGTTCGTTTTCTTAGGATATAGATTATTTGTCAGGGACAGAATTGTAAGTCTACTTTGAAGCATACTTGTTTTTCTTCGAAAGTTGCAGCATTTATCGACGGTTAAGTTGGGTTCGTGTCGGCTCCCATAGGAAACATTCTAATAACTTTATACCGTATTCATGGGCGCTACGCTTGTGATCTTAACTTTCTTTTGTTCTAAGAAAATGAGACATTGACCACTTTATTGATTGTTTACAAAAGGAAGATTCCTTGTTTCTTAGCAGTCTTTAAGGCAGTTCACGACACACATTTTGTGGTTGTGATTCTCTCTGACTCTTTTTAAAACCTAAGGACGTGATCTTATTGTTAGAGACATAAGGGATAAAAAGATGTGTTTTGTTAACCCCCTTTGAAGTTCTAAAAACCGAAATCTACTAAGAAAAACAACTTCTAGAAGTAATGCAAAAAAAGCCAAAAGTTCAGTGTCGTGACAAAATTGGTTCTAATTTTATTAAAGACAGACTCAAGTGTACTTGGACACTGAGCTCTGAATCTTACACAGAAAAATTGTTCAATCTGAACTGTCTTCGGTTTCACTTTGCCAGCGTAAGGTAAAATCATTAACACGTAATTCTGTATCCAACTGTACTGACGATGATATTCCGTTTACTAAAGTTCAATGTGCAGTGCAGGAAATGTGCAGTGCAGGAATCATATCTCATTATTTAAACCATGATAATATTCCGCCATAACATTTTACCTGGCGTTGTTTTAACTTTTTCAATTCTTACTTGGAGACTTTTCCTTTTTCAACTCTGAGTGCAAAATTCGTTCGGCTTCAAGTAAGGTCGTTGGAGGGAAGCAATGGTAAATACCTAATGCACAGATCCCTAGAAAGGGGAAGAATGACTACGATTCTCGTGAGACAATCTCAATGTCATAAGCCAGAATGACACACAGCTATAATTCAGTTTCGTGATACTCAGTCGTGTCTGTACAGAAACTACAGACACCATGCTCAATGGATGCGGTTAGTGTCTTAAGCCTTGTTTCCTGAATGGAAATGACCGAACTACGATGTATTTCCTTCATATATAAATTTGCAGTATAATCACTATTTAGGCAGATGTTTTGACGTCAAAGTTGGAAAAACATTTTTAAAGAGACCCTAGAAAAGACAACTATTACAGCGGATTGAAAAGAACTTTAAGGCAGCAATGTATTTTCTTCAGTTGAATAACTTTTTCATAATTTGTCTAAGGAAATCGGTTGAACAGCGACAAAACAGCCATGATATAATTTGATCGCTTTACAATTGCACCCGTTGTGCTGTTGGCAAATTTCAGTTTAGGTCTCTGAAATTCTCTTTTTTTAAACCCTCTGAGTTTTTCATTTAACTACAGCTTTAGAAGGGCTGATTAGGTTCTGCTAGAGCGCTACCCTTCTTTTTCTTGCTGATGTCTAGCACGGAGAATTGTTTCTCCCCATTGAAGGTGACAATGACGAACATCCTATTGCGGAAATACACTCTCTTTGCGTTCGTTTGATGAACACCACAAAATTAATTTATAGATTTATTCAAATTTTAAC